GGCTGCAGAGAACAGGCGCAGCGCTGGCCCCACAGGAGATCCAGCCCCTGCCTCGTGCAGAGCTCAGGCCTGGCTGCAAGAAAGGCCGTGCTGCAGCCAACAACAGGAAATAACAACGAGCACTTGCTTTCTGCCCTTAAAACAGGATGCTCTCCATACGTATGGCAGCAGGTGATCTCACTTAGGGGCTCTTTTCTCCAAGGACGGGCTGTTCTCGTTGTCCTGGTGCAGCTGGGCTCCCTGCTTGGCAGGGTCATCCTGCAACAGCACTGGGAGCTCTGCATCTGCCCAAATATGCTCGCCTATGTTTACATGGAGGGTGACTGGAAATAAATGTTATTCTGGTTCCCGTTGGTTACTGTTTCAAAATGTTACTAGATTTTTATTTTTTAAACTGTGGAAATAAATACCCCAAATATTTGAGTGTGTATAGATACATGTACCCACACATATAAACAAGCATATGCGCACTGTACTCCAAGCACCAGCTGCGTGCTGCAAAATATACCAAAAAATAACGTGCTTCTTATGAATCTAATAGATACTTCTGTTCTGTTTTAAATTCCTCCGAAGACGGAAAAAAATAACCCGATTTCATACAGACTGCAGCATGGGAGAACATTCCTTTATACCCAGAGGTCAAAGCTCATTAATCAACTGCTGTTATTTCCCTCTGCAGGAGCAGATAAACCGCAAGTGTTAGGGTACAAATCAGAAAATGAGGGCAGTACCAGGTTGCCAGTTTGAATAGTTATGACATTCCAAAATGTGTTGCACTGTTAAATGGGAAATAAGGGACACCACAGATGCTTCTAATAATTCCAGTTTCAAGTCAGTTTTCCCTCCTTTGTCTTAAAAAGCTTTTGATGTGTAGTCACAATATTGTCTCTCTCTCTGTTTTTAATAATTTTATATTACCTCAGCAATATAACTGTCCTGAAATATACTGAACTTTAATCTCTGAGAGATCAAACAGGAAGAAATACGACGGGATAGAGAGTGACTGAGTTGGGGGCAATATTCTCTCCCCCTATAAAAGAAAGCCCACAGCTAGATAAAAATTGCTTCTCGGATTCCACAAACGTCACATCTTTAAGAGAAAATTTCAGGCCCACAGAGAGAGCAGACTTGGGGCGACAGAAAAAAAAACCAACATAGAGCCATTGAAGATGCAGCCAAAAGCAAGCATGCTCTCCCGGAACTTGAGGATGTGGTTTGTGTGACTACATGCTGTAAGATTGGTCCCAGCACCCTCAGACCTCCTCCATTTAGCACTGCAACAGCCGAGAATCATTTGGCTACTGCCCTTTCACTGGAATAAACGTGCTGGCTCTGTCTCAAGCAAAAGAAATATCTGGGACAAAGGTATGAGTTTACATACCACGAAGACATTGTGATGTCTGGGGGGGGGAGAAGGGGGGGGCGAATTTAAGCCAGTATCAGCACACAGATCCGATGGGGCACAAAGGAGGTGCTCCAAGGAGTCACTTCAGAACACAGCCAGTTTCCCTCCAAAAGGCTTTTGTTCTCCATGAGCTGAGCTTCCAGCAGACAGAAGCCCAGCTTCCCTGATTTTCCACTGAGGTTCTCCAGAGGAACCAGAGGCGGTGAAATGCAGCTCTGCATGTCTGCTCACTCTATTCCCTGACCACAGAATGATGAATTCCTATTCTAAAGAAATACTGGTTAAAATATATTGTGACATACAGTGAAGATGGTGGGGGTTTTTTCCTGGCAAATAATAACAGTACTGCAATAAACAGTGTACTAAAAAGAAGACTCTTTTTGGTTTATCGTTAGCACCTTGGAACTAAAGCCAATTTAATCTCTTTTGAATAAATATGTGAATGTCTCTTTTGGCTGCCTTGGGAACCTGCTTTATAACAATCCCTACATATGCATCAAAACTGTTTATGAACTTTCCCAAATGTACAGCTTGAAGCTTCAGGCTTTTATCGAGTTCATTAAAATCCCTAAAGACTCCAGAAGCTAAAAACACTGATTCAGACACCGCTAAAATCAGTGCAAAGACTCCTATGGATGCTTCCACAAGGAGCATTGAGAAGCTTGTTTTCTGCAAGTGATATCACCACCACGTGTAAGTGGCTCTTGCTCACCACCTGCAGCTCTGCAACGTTCATTAATTTCTAATTAATACATATAATTTGCAAGCAGTTGTTGTACTCTCTTCTTGCATGCGGGTCATAAGGTCCCAGCTACCTTAGTGCTATGCACCAAGTGTAAGGGCATACTGAAAAGAGATCCTGCCAACGAGCCAAATCCCTTCTGATAAATACACTAACTGGAGCCAATAGATATGGAAGGCACTCGTTTCATAGAAATGGTCCATAGGGAGCAGCATGTGTTTGTACTTCAGATAGTTTTCGTATTGCCTGCCCTACTGTCAGGAGTGTTTTGAGTTAGGTGGACATTTTAAAGTTCTTCTGGTGAACGTAGGTTACAGAACAATATTGGAACAATAAGCAAATGTAATAGAGTATTTCCAAGCCTGAAACTTTCTTGGATATCCTTATTCATGCAAAGCAAATAATAGATTCCTTTTTGACAATTTCTCATGCTCTGGATAAACATGTACTGGTATTTCTGAGTTTCCCAGCTCAAATTTCCACACAAGTACTTCTCTGCCTTACCTTCTGCTTTCAATCCAGATGATGCAGAAACCCTCTATAATAGCTCCTTTGTGGGAACAAAGGATACAAATCTTCATTTCAGCCTCCACATTTTGGTCTTTAAATCAGAAAATATTTATTCTCTTTTAATGAAATATAAGCTAACCCGGAGAGGATGAGATTCTCCAGATTGAAGGCTTACTGATCAGTGTTTATTCAGAGTTTTACTTCCAAACCTCTAGAGCTCTCAATCCATTATTACATTTCCAAGTCTTGGCTGTCCTATCGCTTTGAAGGAAGAAGGTAAGATGATTCTAGCATTTAGCAACAGCAATCTGGAAAATTTCCTCTTCCTTCTTTTGCCATTAAAATAGCTTTCATCTGTAGGTCTGCATTCCCACCTGAGGAGCAATTTCTTAATTTCTGGCAGGATCTCTTCTTTACATTATCTAATCGGTTTCTAGAAGATGTTTTTTTTTTTCTCCCTCTCTCTGTGATGAATTCCTGCCTCTCTGCTCTAGCATTTGTTCCCTTAGCAGCATTTGTAAGCCAAGACCGTGATTTCAGCCTCAGTCAACAAACTTCAACCACTGAGAGAGAGAGGAGGGCAGGAAGAGGTCTTCATAAGAGGTTTCAGGTGCATTGTGCAGTGCTGGCTTCCAGCTCCTAACTGTGAGTCTAAAAATATTTTAACCTTAAGGATACAGCTTGCTTTGAAACAAAGGGGAACAAAGCTGAACTGAACTGTGAGTGAGCTTTTGTGTTTGAACATAAAACCACAAGGTGTGTCAGGGACTATTCCCACTGCTGCTCCACTAAGCATTAGGTTACTGCTTTCCTACTCAGGTGATTAAAGTTAAGTATGCAAATTCACAGCTGTGCCCACATAGATAAGACGCAGTCCTGTGGGAGCTGAGCATGCACAGCGCTGATGTAAGCGTGGTTTGGCTCCAGCGTGCCTCATTCTTGTCTTTGGCATCACGTCCAGCATGTTCAAATTTGTCCCAGTGGGTCAGATAAGGCTTGCTGTTCCATCCAGCAGAGGCCAGCTGCTCAGGTGCCTATGAGCTGGTTCTGCTGCTGCCTCCTCCAGCCTGCGAAGGTTCAAAGAGGGCCTCCTGGAGATACTTTCATTTTCTTCATACATTTATTGACAGCAAATACCTTGGTATCACTGACTGTGATCTATCAAGGTCCTTTTCAGCAGTGTTTTCCCACATACATCATGTCATCCATGATGCAAAGATTCTTTCTTCTCCACTGACTTCATTTTCAGCATGTACTTTACTGAAACTTTTGCATAACCACATAACCTGAGGACCACAAACCTGTCTGGCTGCACAGAGTTTCTTCTTTTTCTCAAGCATGATACATACAAAGTGGCAGGCTAACTTTCGAGTTGGAAACTTCAGTCCTTATAGGGATAGGCTAAGAAAGCTCATCATAAAACACAGGCGAAAGAAATCATTTTTCTTTCCCAGTGTACTTCATGCTTAGGATGCAAAATAATTGTACATCCACTTGAAAGAGTACGCAGCAGGAACACAGAAAAAATGCTTCAAGAGTGACAATACAGTACTGTTCACTGAACAAGACACGAGTGAGTGCCACAGAGCTGTGGATATGAGTGAGAAGGAGCAATTCTCCAGCCACCGCTCACTTAAGAGCTAATGGGTTCGAGAAAAAAACACCTCATCAGTTCCTGTAAAACACTTCTGTTCAAAAGTAAGTTTTTAGCATATGGGAGTCTGGTAACCTGACACAGACACAGAAGTTAATAAGATGTAATTATTGTCTGAATCTTCAGTCAAAATTAAATTTTACCTAACACGTAACATGTTTTCATTACTGATACAGATCTAAATTTGAACCACATGGAAGCTGACATCTCAGATTCATGAAGTATTCAGAAGTCAGAAAAAGTCCTTGCTGTATAATTACTGATCTTAACCTGCAAGTACAGCTTTGTGCCTGTGCAACAGAGGCAGCCTGGCAGCTCCGGATCCAGCTGCAATGCAGTGCACCAGGCAAGCTCACACCACGCAGCAGGACATACAGCTTAGGTACGGGTGCCTGGTAACGGGCTACACTGCACCTACAAGATCACAGCATTGGCAGCATCCTTCTCACAGTGCATCCATGCTGTCCCTCTTCTTCTGTCAGCTCTGCATGGTCAAGCATTCATCTTAGCTTAAGACTGCAGATATTATTGGCAGAACTCCGTGGCTGGCTCGAGTGAGCCTTTGGGCAGCCTCCCACCCAAGCACATTTGATCTTGCTGTAAATACAAAACTTCTCATACATCTTTTACCAAAATTGAGGATATACTGATATGATTATGTTAATACAACGTTTTAATAAACAGCAGCATAAAATAATCAGTGTTTAATATCATCTCTGGCATGTGAAATACAAAAATGCACATATCTTCGTTATAAAATAGCCTTTGTTATTACATTTTCATGCTTGCCTAATTGAAATGCCCGTAATTAATAAATCAATCGTCAAGTAATACAGTGATTAAACGCATGCAGTGAAAACAAAGAAAAATATTTGTATAAGGTAGTGGCTGAATATCACCATAATATATTTCAAGAACATCTACATCAGGGTAAAAATAAAAAGAAACAGACCAAGATATAAAATGCAGAGATGTATTTTCACTTCTGCTGTACAAAACATCATCACACTTTTGTGCAAAAAGATAAAAATAAAGTCATATTATACAACATTGTCAACTGAGCAAAGATTGTTTCCATTGTGTACAATAAAAAATACGATTCAGTACAAAAGAGAGACTGCGAAAAGTCGTTAAGGTACACAGCACTTCTGTAACTCATTAAAGTGGTTTCAAATGAATATTGTAGATTGCTCATACCTGAATACATTTTAGTAATTAATGCATGTCATGTTTCTAGGATGAAAATGAATTCACATTATTAGAATTGACCGTAAATTGCTATCAACGGATCTGCTGCCTGATGGAATGCGAGTTTCCCTTCTGTCAGGGTTACTGGAGTCATAGTCACTGAAATTACGTATTGATCTGAAACAATAAATATTACTGGGAAAAACTGTCATATATAAAACTGTGGTTTGGAGCCTTTCCATTAAACAGTTGCATAGCAACAAAAGGATACACAATTTCCACTTTATCTACCTATAAAAATTATGAAATGTTGTCTTTCAAGAAGTTGATTCAGGTTCTGAAATTAAAGCACTTTAATTTCATTTCCTTTAAGGCAATTTCTTACAACTCCAGCCATCTTCAGCAGCCAATAGCAGATGGTTTTCTCAAGCTGATAACTCAAGCTATTGTGGCGTGTAAAACGCCCTTTTTGGCCTGAATCTGGACTCAGACTCCCAACGCAACGCAAGACCAAAATCCTACCTGAAGGAATTTATCCAGCTCTCAGTTCGCATACTTGAAACATAATCCTCGACTGCAAATATTTTAACTAGCTATTGGAACTGAAATTGCACACCCAGTAGATCGCCGGATATTTGCATCTCCTAAAAAAAGAGACAAATATTAAAATACGTTTTCAGCATTAAAAAATTCCTGTGATTTAAACCACATCAGAGGCTTAACAAGCTGTGAAAAAGCGTATGATAAAATGTTCTTGCTTCAAAAAAATTCCCCCTTCCCCTCTTGGAGCTGTCGGTGGCACTTGGAGAAACAATGCGTCCATTCACAAAGCTGAGTATTCATACCACAAGGATCTTTGTCTGGTTGCTCTGCCCATCCTGTTAAGCAGTTAAACTTCACAGAAGATACTTGCTGCGATGTCTGTTAAACAACCAGAAGAATCTTTAATAAAATATTTGAATATAAATCTTTTCTACTACTTTCTAGTTTGTATCGTAAATAGTTATATTTACAAAGGCCTCACTTATTTACAATTCAGCTGAAATCATAGATTCATTAGGTCCGTGGATGCTCGAGTCTCCTAGTAGGGAAGACTGCTTCGAGTCAATTTTGTACGGTTTTTGAGTTTTGTTTCCAAAAACGGTTATACCGATTCCGCCCGGGTGACTGGGGATCGACATATGGGACAGCAAAGGGATGTTTGCCTCCTGGTTGGATCCTGACGATGGCAAACTTGTGACGTGACCCGTGCTCGTGGATCCGCTGGCACTGCTGGGAGATCGGCTCTTTGGAGGAGGACAGTGCTGGATGACCCTGGGCGGGCCCTGCGGCTGGTAGTGGGCGGCTGGGAAAGCGGCATAGCCTGCAGGAATCGGGTACCCGTTGATCGGGATGTATCGCTGGTTTTGAGGTAAGGGCGGCCCTATGAACCCGGCGATTTGGCCTTGCGCTATGCCTTGTGCTGGAAACATGTAGTTAGGGTACCTGGGATTGCTCAGGTTACTGACGGGGCTTGCGCTGAGGGAAGTTGTCTGAGTGGTGGCGTTCCCACCTGAGGGGGTGGTAGAACTAGTGTGGCTTGACAGGCCCTCCCAGGAACGCAGCCTGGCGTGGATTTCTTTGAATCGCGGCCTCCGAGAGGGCAGGTCGTGCCAGCACTCCGTCATCAGGCTGTACATTCGAGGAGGGCAGTCTTCAGAGCACGGCAGCAGCTGTCGTTTCCTGATCATCTCTATGACTTCTTGATTGCTAAATCCGTAATACGGTTGAAGTCCAAAGCTGAATATCTCCCATAAAACAACTCCGAATGACCAAATATCTGAATCAGAAGAGAACTTGCCGTACATTATCGCCTCCGGTGGCATCCAGCGAATCGGCAAAAGAGATTTGTTTTGAACTCTGTAATAATCTGCTGAGTAGATTTCTCTCGAGAGTCCAAGGTCTGATATTTTCACGTGAAGCTGTTCTCCAATTAAAATGTTACGAGTCGCAAGATCTTTATGGACAAAGAAATGGCTTGATAAGTATTCCATCCCTGCTGCAATCTGGACTGCAATATGCAGGAAATCCCCGTGGTCCAGGCTGGATTTTACAGTTCCATCCTCATCGCTGCTACACCCAACATCTGAGTGTGGTGATCTCATGATGAGGAACTCGTGCAGGTCTCCTTGGTTCATGTACTCGAAGAGCATGCAGACAGGCTGCTCCTGGGTCACCACACCTAAGAGGCAAACGATGTTAGGGTGGTGGAGCTCGGCCATAAGAGATGCTTCTTGCTGGAACTCTGCCCACTGCTGGGGGTTGTTAAAGTCTTTCAGTGTCTTGATTGCAATGAGCTGAGCGTGGTCCATGCCTGGAAGGTAGAGGTGTCCCTTGTAGATTTTGCCGAAAGCACATTCACCGAGTTCTTCCATGAAACGAACAGCAGAGAGAGGCAACTCCTTAGCCTTGCTCTGGGAAAGAAATGACAGCAAGAAGGTCTTTTCACACAGGAACTCTGAAAACCATGCAAACCAACACTAGAGCTCCTTCCTGGGGCTGCACAGCCCTGCAAGATGCAAACGAAAGCACAGCAGCGGCCCCGGCCCAGATCCATCCTGAGGGATGCCAGCATCCCAGCATCAGCACAGCTCAGAGCTGGAAGCTGCTTTATCTTACTCTGGACCCTGCTCCAAACCTAAATTTCCTATTACTTTTTACCCTCTGCACAAGATCAGATAAAAGTAGTAAGTATGAAATACAAATATGTGCAGGAACCATCAGCATTTCAGCAGAGGCATTTATATACTTGGGTTTGGGCATTTATATACTTCCAATTGAATCTGACTGATCTGAGGAATTGAGGCAATTCACATACTTCAAGCTAAGTGCACGCTGAAGTGCTTTCTGGGCCAGCGCCTACGGTTTTAGCAGAAACCTTTTTTTTTTTAAAAGTTCTGTTCTTGTAGCCAATTCTTCCTTGACTCTGCTATTAACCCTTCCACGTACAGGAGAGAATATTTCTGTTCACCCTTGATTGAGTGATCAATCCTAAAGCGTGTGGGACAGTCAGCTGGAAAAAGGAGATATTGGTAAAAGGAGAAAGGGAAACTCTTTGAAACTCTTGTTGTTTGCTCTTAGGCCATAAGGAAGTTGCATGATATTCAAGTATCAACTTCCACACGTGCTGTTAACCTACATGCAAACACAGCCATTTTCGGCCCTCTGTATCGCTACAGGTAGTAATTTAAGGCTAATGAGTTTGGGATCTACTTTTTGCAGAAGAGCGTAAATGTGAGCGTTGCATTCCTGAAACATTATCGCTGCAGCTTTACAGTAGCAACAGAGCAAAATAACTCACGTTTAAAAAAATCATTTAGACGTGGCACCTCAGAAGAAAGGAATTCTAATTGCACTGACCACTTTCAGTTTTTAGACAAATACTGCATAAATAATCATCACCATCATCATCATCGAGCCATTTAAGCGGGCAGCCAGTAGACTGTACGGTGATGGCAGGAAATTAGCTATATTGTTGAGGAACAGATGGTTTATATTATACAAATCCTTTAGGCTAAAACTTGTTTAGGTCTGGCATATTGTAAATTATATTTTAGTAATGAAAGTGAAATGACCTCTGTCTGACCTCGGGCAGGGTTTGTCTGTTTGAACCAACATAGTGGAAAACTATGAAAGAAAATGAAGTCATAAAGTTTTGGCAGGAAGGGCTCATTTCAAGTTAAGCGGTTATAAATCTGCTTAGTTTTTGTTTGACAAGTATTTGTCATACAGCGGTGTACAAAATGTAAAGAAGTGTAAAATACATATGAGGCAGCACGCCAAAGTAAACTGAGTACAAAGGCAGAGCAGTGGGAGCGAAGCCCCCCGCCCCTATCTCTGCATCGGCCCCTTCCATTAGGTGAATGACAGGATGAGCTCCGTTTATTGTATTTTTGGAAGGCAATTAAAATCCTTTAAAACTGAAGCGGGCTGAAATGCTAACATTTTTATTTGTCCGAGCAAACACGCATCCACCTCGCCTGGAGCTTCAAGCCTAGGAGTGGTTTTACCCCCAAGCTGACATTAATGCTGGATACGGTATTTAAAAATAGGATTCCACTTCCTTTCTTTTAAAATTTCGTTTGAAAGGCAATCAAAACATCTGAAACAGGCAGAGCTCAGTTTCCTAGTAGGAAAACATGGAATGAGCTTTTTGCACCATATGACTTGAAACGGAACAAGAAGACAGTGTGCTCTACATTTGCAAAATACTTTTGGGTAAGTCGCTTTCCTATGCAGCAGGCACGAGGCATCGGTGTGTCGGCAGCCCGGGAGGAAAATGGGGCCTTGTTCAAATGAAGCTGATGTTCCCATCATTTCCAGTTTGGTGAGGATTTTAGCAAAATATCTTTGAGTGGGACCAAGAAGCAAATCCAAATTTATCAAAATAATCCACAGAGATTGGATGCAAGGTGTAGTTGTGACACCTACCAAGTAAAATGTTTCTCTACTATTACCCACACTTGGTTTTTAAGCAGGTGTTTTGTTATTAAGCAAGTATTAAGCATTTTCAGCTGCTCTAAGCTGTACGTGGAAGTTGAAATTAAGAACTGAAAAGGAAAAAGAAAGACAAATTTGCTGTGCAGACCAAACTCTGCCTGTCCACCCCTGCAGTCCCAGTATCTGTAACTATTTAAAACAAGGAGCCTCATGTGAGCACTATGCTGTGCAACACCATGAACTTATACAGAGACCTTGCAGTGATCTCTGCAGTGTGGAAAGAATACTTGCAACAGCAATGTTTGAACAAAGGCAGCAAAATCTGAAGAAGCAACACTTGGTGTTCACACTGCTAACGTTTCAGTAAAAGTCAGAATTTGGGTTAATTTCACTATGTCATCTTTCTGCAAAAATAACAGCTTGTGCGAAGGCACGTCTGAGGGGTTCACACATCACATTCTACAGTTTCTAATTACTGGTAGATGTTGGTCTTCCCCGTGAAATGCTTCACCTCCCTTAAGCTGTTGTTGAAGAGAACTGGCACGGTGATAAAACAGAAGACAATCACATAATCCTTCCAGGGCGCTGTTCTGCCTGTAGGTGGCAGAAGGCATTTACAGCCCCGACTGGGTGACCCAAGCAGGTTTGCACACTGGCTGCCCCTGCTGATAAACAAGGAGCTCAAGGTTAATCGTGCTTAAATCTTAAATGATTTTAAAAGCAAGCGCTTCATGAACCTGAGACTACAGTGAAGCAAAACAACTCTGGTAACAAGAGCAGCTCCACACCAGCTGTGCTGGCCAGAGCTGGAGTCAGATCCTTGGGCTCCGTTTCAGTAATTTCTCTTTTAACTGAGAGAATGGGTAAGCCTGAAAAAACAAGGAGCAAATCTTTGCAAAGTGATTTCAGCTGACTGAAGGTGACATGTGTCTACAGCAGACCCGGGAAAAAAACTCTCTTGAGAAAATGCTGAATCATATATTTATCTGCACTGACTTCAGAAAGGCCTCCAAAGAAGTAATCGAGACGTACTTCAGGAATGGGCTGCTTCAAAAAGCTCCAGCTTCTATTTCTGCATACAGACATACAGGAATTACCGCCACAGGTCCGCACTCGCTATGCTGCTGCTGACAAGAAAAGTGCTCACCCGAAGTAAAGGCACCAGCAGAAACCACAAGTTGGAAATCAGTTTAACTTTTCAGCGCTGAATTGATCAAAGCACTGCACTCCCTGCCCTTACAGGCAGCAAAAAGTCAAAGCAGGAACGAGCTGCGGGCTCACCTTTGGTTTATAGGCGTTGAGCATCGACATCTCCACATTCTGCCCTCTGACGTGCTTTGGCTGTCTCTGAACTGGAGGGGAGGACGACTTCTGGTTGTTGCGACAGATGCAGATGAAGAAGAAGAGCAATGCTATGGCCAGGGGAATAGTAACACTTGGCACCAGGATATACAAGATTTCCATTTTATTCTTTTCTTTGGCATCCTTATAATCTAGTTTGGGGAAACACAAACAAACAAACAAACAAGCCATGAATGAAGTCTCCACGCAGCTGAACATGTCTCTCGGTCAATTAGGAGTGCTCAGAAGAATAAACTATTGCAATCCACCTTCTTTAATAGTAACAGAGCAATTCGTTTTGTTGAGTAACAATTCCCCAGAAGTACAGAGCAGCAGGGACACCAACAAGCTAGGAACCATTTCACTGCAGCATGTTGGTTCAAACCTCCTCACATCACTGCTGTCACGTGGCTCCTGCTCGGGGTGAAATGAAGCAATGGCTCAGTACAGCCCTACAGAAAAGTTTATTTCTAAAACAGCAAACGGAAGAAAGACTTCAGCAGGTTTGTGGGCAGCTGTTAAAAAGGGCAGTTTCATCTCTCATCTATTTCCAGCCTCCCGTTCTCAGCGTTTCACTACATCTGTCTGCTAAGCCTCATGCTTGAATTGCTCCATGTTTCCCATATCCAAGTTGACAAACTTTTATGAAACGTATCTATTGCAGCTTGTGAGACAACTGAAAGATACAGTTGAAGAAAGGAGAAGAAAGCAGCAGCATGAAGCAGATGGAGACCTGGGCACTAGTTCATCACCTGAGCTACTTCAGTCAAAGGAGATTATTATTCTTATTAAGTAGCAGCCCCTGCCACGAAGCCTCATTAGGTTAATAGGTTTCTTGAGAGCCACCCCAATTAAATTCATTTCCCATTTAGGCATGTCCTGGTGAGACAGAATGCACAATACTTATTAAAATTCGCCTGAAATGGCTCTTTCAGCTCGTGCAAAAACATCAGAATGCAAGTCCCACTCGGTATTTGGGTTTTAATATGCTGATTAGCATTGAACAATTAAATTACTACTCACCTGATATAGCTCTATTTGTCTGTACTCAAAATAATAATGCCATACAACCCAGCTGTACAGCAAGTACCATTTAAGGCAATGGTGAGAGGTAATTAAAACCCTTGTTAGGCTGGCTGGCTCAAAGAATTCCTATCTCACTTATTATCTAGTAAAATGTTCAAACCAGAGACTCCTGCAAGACAGCCAAAAGCGTTCTGCTTTCAGCTAGTACACATCAAAAGACCAAAAAAAGTCCTGGGATCTCAAAGCCCATCTAGAGGGGGCCTTGCAAGCAGCTCCCCTCCAGCAACTCCTAATTACCCAATTATCCAGATGTGCAATGGAAGGCACAGGGCTGTGCCAGGTTGCCCCAGCTGGACCAACCCAGGCACCTGCAGCTCTTGGAGCAGACAGCCCAGGGCTGACCAGGCCTGTGGAGCATCCTGACTGCTGCCTGGGTCCAGGTTATCTAACTTGAACTACTCTTGTGCAGTCCATCACTGTGCCTAATGAGCAAGAAAAACAGCAGAACTGAAACAGCATGAAAAGAGATAAAGGACTGAAAAGTGCATATGAATTTTAGAGAGGGTTTGTGATGCACATGATGATCCCAACTGTCTGCCTGTCCCCAGTCTATTCTTTCACTAAAGACATAATTTAGATCCCATTCTGGCAACGATCCCCATCTTTCCATTAATTGAAAAAGACTCTGGCACATGTCTCACTGCAGGAATGTTCACAACCATAACCAGAAATAATTTCATTTGGTTCTGGCTATTGAACAGTAACATTAAAAGGTATCTCCTTTCCAAGGGAAAAGGTAATGTCACTGTCACAACTTGGAAGCAACATAAACTCGTGTGTGAAACTTTCTACTGTGAATTTCCAGAGCATTTCTGGCATGACCATGCAAATAGCTGTTATTTTTCTTGGCATGCTATAGGTACTGTTATTTTTTAATGCAGGTTAAACCATCAGGAACCATTTGATTAGGTCTGCAATCCACTTCCTTTTAGAAGTCTTGGAAAAGGAGAATAAAATGTGATCTGAATCTAAGTTTTTTATTCCTTTTGCAAGTCCAAAACGCAGCCAGGGCAGTTTGGTAAACACAAACCAAGAAGCCATTTTGTTTGGACTGAAGAGTCCAATGGCAACCTGGGAATCCCGGGATGCTCGGGCTGAGCTACCAACTCCAGGGGAGATATTCCTTACTAAAATATGTTCATGCCACTACTTGGCAGGGTCAGGTGGGGGTGAGGGAAAGGCTGAACCCCAGAGGGCGGTGGGCACAGCACCACCCCAGGGCAGTGGGTCGGCCCAAGCTGCCAGAGCTCAGGGAGCACTGGGACACCGCTCTGCACAGAGCTGGGCTTGGTGCTGCTGTGCAGGGCTTGGGCTCAGTGCTCCTTGTGGGTCCCCTCCAACCGCAGATATTCCGTGATAATATATAGGAAGTGCCTATGGTAAAAAAGCAATTACCACATGCCGGGACGTCGCAGATCTCGGACTTGAAATTCTCATCCAAGGTGAAGCACCACGGGGCGTCCTTCTGGTTGCCGGGGTTGCGGCAGTAGGAGTGCCCCCCGTTGAGCTCCGGGTACCTGATGGCAGTGAAGGTGTGCGTGTGCGGGTACTGCGAGTTCCACGGCTGGCACTGCCGCCCCGACCTGGTCACACTCACCGTGCCCCGGTAGTCCACCCCTGTGCTGTTGTAGCATTTGTGATCTGAAAGAGAAGATAACAGAAGGCAAGGATTTGCACGCCTCTTCTGGCCCAAGGCCGGTGAAGCCAGCTCAGAAGCACGGGCTTCCAATTTGCTGCGGCCGCAATGCGGGGCCTGCTTTGCATTCACATTCCTGGGCGGATTTGAAGCTTATGCTTCTGTAATGAAAACAGCTTATGCCAAGCGTTTTTAATATAAGATACACAAAAGAAGTAAAAACTACAGTAGGAACCTGAATTGCAGCCATTATTTTCGTATGAAGGTGGAGAGTTTGTGGAAGCCATGTGTTATACTTGGTTATTCAGATGTATAAAGGTTGGGAGCAGGCTGCAGACCTGCCTGACTGAAGGCTGAGTTCAGTGGCTAAAGTAGGTAGGGACAGCCCTGGACTGGACCCTGGAGCTGCAGGTAAGCACCCTGGAGCTGCACAGGGAGACTGAAGCTGCCAACATTGAACATCCTGTCCATGGCAGGGGAGTTGGACTTGATGACCTTTACGAGTCCCTTCCAACTCAAACACTTCTCTAATTCTCTAATTCCCCAGTATTCAAATGCTTATGCTGCCACTGTTTCCCTCTACTTATTAATTACAAAAGGTAAGAACCAAACTAATGGATTTTGATGTAAGCACTAAGGCAGCTAAAGAAATCACTGAAAAAATATTTCTGCATTTAGCCCACGCCAGACTGGTGTGGGCAGAATTGCCCTAAGTGGTAAAGCACAGTGCCTTTGCACTTTCACAGCTCAGCACTAGCGCCAGCGCTGAGGCACAAGCAGCTTCGCCCCCCTCACCATTACATTTTCTGCATGGACATACAACCGCTTTTCACTTACTTTTATTTATGGGGTCTGCCATGGGAATCCCAATCCGAATACAATTGACGGCTTCCGGGCTGTCTGGCTGGGGAAGATCTTCACAGTTGGGCAGCTTTAATCTCATCAGAATCATGGGGTTGGATCTTGCAAAGATATACTCTGTCTGACACAGGACGTTTTCCAGAATTTCACACTCGTCGCGGCACAGGTCCCGTGGTTTGGGAGCTGGGGAAGTCTCATCGCAGTAGGGGAAGGCGTAGTGGCAGAGTGAAGGAATAGCAAACTGGGAGCATTTATCCGACAAATGGCTGGAAGTGCCAATCATGGTGAAGGCAGCTGCAAAATATACAAGGGGATTTTACCTAACCTGGTGGGAATTTCACTCCCGTGCTTTCGCCTTCCCAGCTCAGCCCTCCCTTCCCACTGTGGCTATTACTTTCAGAGATCCAGGTGACGAACAGACCTTCCAGAAATACAGAGCACTAATTGCATTAAAAGTTATTAACGATGCTGATTTCGCTGACGGAGAAAACACATCTGGTTTTCAACACTGGCCTAATGTTAAGCACGTTACCAAAACCCAAAATCTAATTATACATTATTTCCCCAAGTAATTTATAATGGCTTGCAAAGTCACTGGATATTTGGATATCTTTGGCCCAGCAAGTGAAAATCAAAGCCCTTGCAGGCTGCACAATGACAAAACTCCCCAGAGGCATTCAAGGCCAGGCTGGATGGGGCTGTGAGCAACCTGGCCTACAAGGAGGTGCCCCTGCCTACAGCAGGGGGTTGGAATTAGATGATCTTAAAGGCCCCTTTCAACCCAAACCATTCTATGATTCCATGAAAACCAGTATCCGTGCTGAGGAGCTCACAGCAACTGAGGATCAGCAGCTAACAGAAAAAGAAGCATTGCACTTTATAAAGCATTAGCAGCTTTTTGGAAGAAGTTTCCCGGGAAACAGACAAGTGCATTTTTTACCCACCTGTGATCTGATTTTCTATTTCACCTTGCATATGCAAAGACTCCATATAAATGGTCCGATTTCCAATAAACCGTGCACAAGCGATCCCCCGGTAGGGCTGGCAAAAACCATCCTCTTCGTACTCATCCCTGAAATCAAGCATAAGCACAAAGGGGTGAAATGTTTCACACGCGATTCTGCAACAAAACGTCTCCCCGGGGTGCTGGCGCTCGGATTCTCCGCGCCCAACGTGAGGGGCTCGCAGCGTTTGTCCTGCAGCCCAGCGATTCGTTCTGGGGATGCTGGTGCAGCACAGAGCCCGCACGCCGTCCTCGCCTCCATGAACAGCCTGTGATAAGGGATTATATGGTCTTTAGGTGGTGCAGAGGGCACGGCGCAGGCTTTGCATCCCCGCAGCGCCGCAGGTAGTTTTCACGAGCTCACAAATGATTCTGAAGTGAATATGAGGAGCACGCAACATCCTGAGTGTTCAGCTGCGTGGTAAAAATGGTATTGCTGAATCAAACCTGTCTTTTCACAGTGATGAGCACAGCAGGAAGAGTTACACTGGCAGAGACAGAGTTAGAAGCGTATATGAAAATCACACTCCTCCCAGCCCCCAAATAGGAAATGTTTCCTCAATCCTCCACCGGTGTGGCAACAATTATTGCTAAAACAGAACCGCAGCTAAACCAGGAGTTAAGAAGCCAGATTTCTTTCATTAGGTGCTTTGTTTTATACACTATAGGAGACATTCAATGCATAAATCCAGATGTGAAATTATTTGCCAATATTCTTCAAACAAAGCAAAGCAAGGAAATGACTAAGCCTCTGAAGACCAGAGCAGGCACCGCTCACTTTGAGCAGGTAAGGCACAGCCTGCTGCTGGCACACAGCTTTATGGCGGTTTCCACGAGGGGTTTGCAGGTGAGAATCTGCCCTTTCACTTTCTCACTTTGAGAACCCAGTTGGTGACATTTGGGACCCACCTCCTGAACAGACACCTCAGGCTCTGCTGAGGTCACGGTGCAGGGAGAAGCTTAATGAATCATTAATATTTTCTGCTATTCGTGCCAATACCCATATAAGACAGCTCCTATACGGCTCTCAAGCGAGGAAAAGTGATGCTGGAATTCCCCCAGGTATGATCATAGCTGGCTTAGGCAACAGGTTACTTACTTTCTGTATTTCTTTCCCCTAAATTCATCCCCCCCCAGACACTGAAAGAGTGACAGCACAATCAGACTAGCTGCTAATAGGGGAAAATCACATCTTTTTTAATCAACTCTGCTATTAGGTTTGACAAAAGCCACTTTCATCCCCTCCCGGAGACCTTGGCTGTGAGAGCTTGGAAATGCAAATGGCACATCCTGCTTTGAAGTCACCCTGCATTGTTTGCGGGGCTTAGTCCAGCCTGGCTCCCATTGCCCTGTCACTAATGGGATTAGAGGGCAGAAGTGCTGGGATCACCCCTTAGCACACCCCACACACCTCTCAGCTCTCTGCAGCTCCTGGACCGTGGGCCCGGGGCTCCCACTGGAAGCACTGGGAGTGGGGATGGAGGAGAGGGCTGGACGGGAGGTGGGAACCTTCCACAGCCAACTGCCATGTGCTGAGAGACGGGTGGGAAGGGGCCCAGGTCACTGGATGGTGGTCCCAAGATGTTCTCAAGGATACTGGAAATTGGAGAGTGAAGGCATCTTCTCTAAACTGCCAATCGATCTTTATTAACGAGAGCAGTGGCAGGCTGAGATGGGCTGGGTAGAGCACAGCCAATGCCAACAGGCTGGCCAGCACTGGTGATGCAGACACCTGAGCACATCGCTGTGTTTCTGCTCAGTTGGGTATGGCCAAAATCCTCCGCTGGTTCCTGAAAGGCCAACAGCTGAAATGCACTGAAAAGCACAGCAGTTACTCCAGGCTCTGGAAGCCAATGCTCCATCTTCTAAGCAACTAATCCCCAAACAGAATAAAATTCATTACTTAATAACAATTCTGATTATTTTTTAAATTGTATTATAATTTTGTAGGAGATTTAACTCAAGGACTGCACCTAACAACAGCTGCTCTTGTAGACAACCAAGCAGCACAATTTAAACACTCAATTAGAGAAGACAAAATCAGGAGGAATGCAGTTAACATCAGCAAAGCAAATTCCCCTCACCCTGAGGTTCACTTCTGAACTGAAGAAGATTGAAGCGCAATGGCTGCAGTGGAACGGCTTGCTGGTGAGCAGGGCCACCCGCTTACCTTGATGGAAATGCCCCGAGGAACAGGATTTGGGAGATTATCTCAGGAGGTGAAGATCAGAGGAAAGAGGAGAGCTGAGATCCCAAAGCCTCTGCATGCCACAGCGGGATTTGCAGAGGGACGACGGAAAATGAGTGGCTCAGATGGAGGCACTACCTTGAATTGTCTTGGAAAACGGCTCCATGATGGGGCGGAAGGATAAATCAAATGGAGTGGGAGCAGCAGAGTGGGACAGAGCTCTTGCCTGGCCTTAGCACATCTGCACCTCCTGCTGCCAGCTGGCAGCTGCCTCTGGCTGGCTTTAAATGCAGAATGGATGGAGGCCGAGGCTGCTGATTGCTCCTACGTAACCCATGCGATGCACACCTCCGTGCTACATGGTCCTGATATGACCCCACCCATGGTGAGTCCTGTGGTTCAACAGGAGTAAGATAGGAGCCATTCTGCAATTAACATGGTAAAAATCAACAGACAAGCTTAAATCCTAATGAGAGAGAAGACAATCCATGCCTGTGGGCACTGCTGACTGGGGACAGACACGTGAGCACACTGCCCCACCTCCTGCACATCCCACCCCTCACCACGACTACACAGAAGAAGGAAAGCACTGGATTTGAATGCCTGACAGACGATAGAGCACTTAACTGTTTTAATGTTATTTCTTTTCACATTTGGTTTCCACTCTGTTTGCTAGACCAACCCTGATGTTTACCTTGGAGCTTGCCCATCGCTGTCAGATCCTGCGGCAGCTCCCCATGCTCCAGCACTTCTAGCTCCGTGAGATAACAGTGCCACGGATTGAGCTTACACTGTACTCAGGTGCATTGTGTGCGGGGCTTAGTCCAGCCTGGCTCCCATTGCCCTGATTGCACAAAATCAAAGTCACAGCACAAAACAAAATTGCCAACAACTGAGAAAAGAACTCACTGGGGTTCATAGGTTCACACCAACAGCAGGCCCGGGAACTCAGTTTAGTGAAGTTTTGTTACCAGACTTTACTATGAACGATTGAATAAATTCATAGAAAAGCTGGACCTTCCGAGATCACGTTGTATTTATTTTTATTACATCCAATTTATAGAAGTTAAATATTCCAAAGATGGTGTAATTGTGCTCCACGCCCCATGGATTTCTCTCTTTTTTCCCCCCCCCAGCTTTGAGTAGGACTTGCATGACTATTTGATGAGAAAGACTCACAAAACCATTTTATATATGTTTTTGGGCAAACGAGAGATGGAGGACAAGGCAAGCCCAGGTCCCAAATGCTTTGAATGTCCGAAGAGAAGAGATAGGAGCCTCACTCTCCCTTCTGACACTCTTTACAGCACTGGCACACTGCTATATGCACTACCACATTTACAAAAAGCAGCAAGGAAAAGACACTGTAATGTGCAGTGACAGTGGAAGACGGTGATGTAAAGCCAGCAGGGGATTAAGGCGTGTGTGCAAAACCTGTTTTAGGACCACTAATAGGTATGAGGAGTGACAGCAAATAAATGCAGCATTATCTCTGAGATCTACCCAGTGGCGAAGGAATAGCGCTGGTTCTGTGTGAAGGCTGTCCAGACAATTTCTCATTTACAAAGTGAAAGGCATTTTGTCTTGCTTAATTTTTTATTTTTTTTTTACCACAGCACTCAACTACTCACAGCTGTTTATCTAAATAATTTATATCCAGCAGCAGAGCAGTGATGGGAAAACGCAGCCAACACTGCCCAGCTCAGACAACTGAGTGCTTTATGCCCTTCTCTTCCAAGGGAACACTGCTCGGTCCCACCACCCCTGCAGACCCCTCAGCAGCTGCCCCACGAGGGCCCTGCTTGCTGCTGAAACTTGCACTGACACATCTCACATCTGCAACCCGCAGCCTGGCCGATGACGGTGCTGCTTTGGAGGAGTTGAGTTCGTAACAAACACTGATGGGCAACAGCGTGGAGGGAAGAAATTTGCTCCATAAAATTTGGCAATTAATTAAAAGGTGTATCAATAAATTTTTATTACTACATGTATCGAATACACCCTCTGTGCATGCTTAAATGCTGTATAAATTATTTTACATTGTCAAATAAATTGTGTTCTGTTCCATGCTCGTGTTCCAGCTTTGCTCAGAATAAAAGGTACAGAGTTTCTACTTGGCAGATATCCCTTAAAGCAAACAGATGAATAATATTCTGTCAGACTTTCCAAAGAGCAAAAACCCATTGCTTGTGCCTTTGAAAATGGGAACGTATTGGCTCTGTTTCATAGCAGTACTTCAGAAATGGGAAGGCTGCATTTTACTTTGTAAAAAGAAGAGAACTGCCCAGACTTGCACGTCACCGTGTAATTTAAGAAAAAGTTCTGTGTAATATAAGCTATTGCTGTTTTGACACCCCTCTAAAGTCACAGGGCAGCTAGGGCTTAACCAGCTCACTAGAAACGCAAGGGCGTAAAATACAAAATGAATAATGCTGGGTTTTGTCATCGTTACATCTGCAGAGTCCCACAGCACCACTGAGACACCTCTTTCCCAACCATAACCAAAAAATAATTCAACGAGCAAGTATGATCTGCCTGAGCAGTGCCTTCATTTACTTGTTACTTCTCTTCCCCACTGATGGCCGGTTCCATGCAATGCCTCCAACCTGCATCAGCAATGGATGTGCCTTTGGGCTGCTGCTCTGCAGGGCTCAGCGCAGGGAGGGCAGCCAGTGGCCCAGGCCAGCTCTGCGGCCACATGACGGCCATTCCCTGCTAAAATTGGGACAGCCGGAGCTCCCTGGTCACCCCAAGTCTCCCAGTCACATGGACACATCGCTTGGGGCTGCCAAACATTGCGCTCACCCCCCTGCTCACTTCTGGTCAGGGATTTGGGTGCTGGAAGGCAGCTGGAACTATAAATGGTTCTGCTAACCAAAGG